ATGGAGTTCAGGGAACCAGTTATGTGCTGGTAGAACCCAGATCACTCTTGTACAAGGCAAGCTTCTTACTTGCTCTACTATCTGGCATATCACTCTACTTTTTGCCTCAAAGATTTTTCAAATGTTAAATTTCTTGAGAAAGTCACATAATATGGAAATGAAATATGTTGGAAGTATATAAGATATTCCTTTCCCTTTTGCCTGGGAAATTTGTTTCCACCTCCCAAAGCCCAAAGATTAGATATTGATAATTTTGTTACTCTCCTGCAATTATTTTTCTATGTTATGAAAGAAAATTCCCCTTTCTGGAGTAAATATTTGTTCATTGTGCAGGGAATCTGGGCAGTTAAAGGAAAATTTTTTAGATTTCAAATATTTGAATAAAATCTATAAACAATGAAATAAAATTATAAATATGATTAAAGGAAAAATAACATAAATTATAAAAGTAGAGGCATGATATACTTGGACACAAAATTGTAGCAAATAATGTTCAAAATGAAACCAATATTTGTTTTAGTGCAGTAAACTAAATCATTGTAACTTGCATTCCTATAGCACTATCAATTTTATTGTGATATTTGAATATTAGCTTCTGTTAACACAAAAAATTCATTTTTTAAATGACTTTGTTGGTTCCATGATTTGTTAGGTCTCTGTTAAAGATTCCTATTATGAAAGCAAATGCTGAAAGAGGGTTTAGCGCTAAAGAAGAAACAAGAACTATGAAGATGCTTAAATGTTAAAATCTAGTGGTTAGAGGGCTTGTATTTCAAACCCATGTTCTCACTTGTTTCTCTCTTTGTATGCTTATTTGCACTCTGGAGAGAGGCTGTGGTTTCTTTTGAACATGTACTTCTTTCCTATCACATCTTCCTAAATAAACCAATAAAAACTATCTTGTTTTACCAAAAATGGAAAAAAATCTAGTAGATGGAATATGATGACAGTTTTAGTCCAACATCTCTACCAGAAGTAAAACATTGTTATGTGTACTCAACTCACCAAATTTCAGAAGGTATTACATTTTTGTTCATGTCCAGAAAGATGGGCTGGAGCGATAGCACAGCAGTAGGGCGTTTGCCTTGCACGCAGCCAATATGGCCGACCTCTAGTTTCCTCCGCCCCTCTCGGAGAGCCCGGCAAGCTACCGAGAGTATCTCACCTGCACGGCAGAGCCTGGCAAGCTACCGGTGATGTGTTCGATATGCCAAACACAGTAACAACAAGTCTCACGATGGAGATGTTACTGGGCCCGCTCGAGCAAATCGATGAACAATGGGAGGACCGTGACCGTGACCATGATCATCCAGAAAGATATTCCACAGGATAATGTGCTTGCCTCAAACATGAATAAATCTGGTTTAGTCCACAGAACTGCAGTGAGTACTTCCAGGAGTGATCCCTGAGCACTGAGCCAGGAATGAAATCTATGCAATCCTTAGCACCACTAGGTGTGGCCAAAACAATCCAACAAACAAAATATAAATGGGTTCATCAAAGTGTGTTTCTTCATCAATAAATTCCTAGTCAATACATCACATATTATCCATTCACTATTACTATCTTATCATATATTATTCATTTACTATCTTATCAGAATATATGATTTGGGTATATATTATTCATTGAAAAGTATGTGCAATTCATAGAATATGAAGGTAAAGTAATCTTTATTAAAAGAATAAAAAATTACTTGGGAAGGAGAGTTTTTTCCATTTCTTTCCAAGGAACTGTTGATAGTATACATAAATACAATCTAGGCTGGAGTAAAAACAATAGGCTCTGTAACAGAGATAATTCGAATTCACTTGGTGAGTGCTTTAAAGCTTACTGTAGACAATATGTACTAATTTGATACTTCTCATCTAAACTTAACCACAAAATGTGATTTTCCCAGCTTAATGATAATGTAACAAATAGTAGCTAAATATATAAACCTTTAGCAAGATGTTTAAGGGATCATCTGAAAACTAGTAATGATAATAATAATTATAAGATTATAATAAAGCTTGATTGAGTTGTATGATATTTGCATTCCTGACAAATAGAAAAACAATTTAAATTAAGATTGTCAGTTGTTCTTATGGGAATTTAAGAGGAAATGAAATTCATGACTGAATTATTTCCGACATTTACAATTTTATTTCTACAACAGTAATTTCAATGAAGTAATAGAGACAACAATTTTTCAAAGCCTGAATAATGGATACAGTTATTTTTATGAATTATTATAATATTCAACTAAAATGCGGAGGTCTGAATATACTTATAGAATAATGTTAAATAGTTTGAAAAAAATAAATTGGTTGGATATCAGGCTATAAAGAGAGTTCAAGTTTCTGAAGCTCAAGTATGATATGTGCAAAATCCAAGTTTGTTCCCCATACCGCATAATCCATCAGCACCTCAGGGCATAATAGCCTTGCTGCCCCCACACACTTCCTGTCCTGAGTCCCTAACCTCCAGACATTCACAGTTGAACCATGTATTACCACGGATGGTCCTCTACCTCTTCAAAAAAGAGCGATGCATTGGTGTATATGTAAAACACAAATAGTGTTAGTTCTGTATTTCTCTTCTCTACTTTGGTCTGATAGAAAAAAATGAAGCATTAAAGAAGCATAATTTGACTTTTACTAAGTCAAACGAGTATCATCTATTGTCAATTATAGTAAACTTTTAGTTATTGTAGTTATATCTATATATCCTGAATGCTTATTGGTACTAAATATCTTGAGCTAAAACTATTACTGAAATCCCATAAACTTCTTTTTAATTATTTCTTAAACTCCAGCTGTTGTACAACTTATCTTTTGGATTCACGTTAAAATACTCTAACAAATAAAAGTCTTACTTCTCACTCAAATTTTCTATACTGCACTACAATGATATTTTCCTAAATGAAAAATGAAATCTAATCTTTGCACATATTATAAAATATCCAGTAAATATTTTTCTTGCCTAATGTCTAAGGATTACTCGTACTTGCCAAAATTCTTTGCTCTTTCCTCTATTGCTTGTTTGGAACATTCATTATTTGTATGCCCCAAACACTCATCTTCCCAGTGTTGTCAATTATCTTTGTTTAGTTTTACTGTCATCTTCTGTAGTTTGTGATCATATTTTTAAATTACAACCTACTTCTACATCTTCTAACATATACTAACATCTTTTAGCATATACTAACACACACACACACACACACACACACACACACACACACAAAACCACATTTATATTGGAAGAAAATTCTGGTGCCTGACATAAAAAAGGTAAAAATAACTGCTAAATAATAAATGCTTCATTAATAAATGAGTAATCAGGCTGTGTAACTTCTTCCTTTGCCATAATATTTATGTTCTCAAAAATGTAAGTAGCTAGTTATTTTAACCTGTGAAATACTTTCAAGGCTGGATTTGATTGTACACCTCCTGTTAAAAATTCTACTTCCACCACACTAACACAGAATATCTCATTTATTTAGCAAATGTTTATTGTATGTTGCATGTTAAGCATAGTGATCAGCATTGGGGATATAACTATATATATATATATATATATATATATATATATATTTGTTGTTACTGTGTCTGGCATATCGAATACTCTCGGTAGCTTGCTGGGCTCTCCGAGAGGGGCGGAGGAATCGAACTTGGGTCGGCCATGTTGGCCGCGTGCAAGGCAGACGCCCTACCTGCTGTGCTATATATATATAATTCATATATATATATATATATATATATAGGCTGGAGCGATAGCATAGCGGTTAGGGCATTTGCCTTGCACGCAGCTGTCACAGCCAATCCAAGTTCGATTCGTCCACCCCTCTTGGAGATCCCAGCAAGCTATTGAGAGTATCTAGCCTGCAAGGCGAAGCCTGGCAGGCTACCTGTGAAGTATTCGATTTGCCAAACACAAAGTCTCACAATGTTATGGGCCAGCTCAAGCAAATCGATGAACAACGGGAGGACAGTGACAGTGACAGTAAAGATATACATGAGCCCTGCCCTCATAAAACTGCAACACTGTTAAAATTATAGATAATAAGCACATTAAAAACAAATAAGCCAAGGACTACAGAGGTATCACAGAGGTCAAGCCTCTTGCCTTTCATTCAGCCAACCCCGGTTCATTCTCCATCATTGTATATGCTCCCAACGCCTTTTCCACCACATAGACAAAAAGCAAAAAGAAAAATAAGCCAGTTCATTATTAATTGTACAATTTCTACAAGACAAGTAAAAAATCTCATATAAAGAGAAAAGAAATAAAGAGATATGTTTACATGTATACATATAATTTTTATCATGTAAATCAGATAGCATGCTTATATGAGATTTCTTGGTGGCAAACAGACAAAAGCCACTATCAGAAATATAGTGACCTCTCATCTTCCTGCAGACTATGTTCATTTAAGATAATATGTACACTGCTAAAGGGACAGGTGTTGAAACATTATTACTGAAATCCAATCATGAAAAACTTAGCATCTGTGTATCTCACTGTTATCCAATTAAAAAAAATTAAAAATACCTTAAAAAGAGAGAATATGTATAGACTTTAAACACAATCTTCTAAAAGTAATATATTTGTTTTAGCTGCTCAAAGTCAGTGAAATATTTGACTCATGTCTACACAGAGCAAATTAAAATTTAGTTTGTTTTTCTTGTAGTTCTGAACTGTAAATTACCCAGATAAAAAATATTTTTAAATCAATAAAAAATAAAACCTGTTTTGAATTGTCATTTGTTGTTTGGGGACCACAAATGACAGTGCTCAGAGTTTACTCCTGGCTCTAACTTCAGGCATCACATCTTGATGGGAGCATATGGGGTGCAAAAGATCAGACTCTGCTCTGTCATATGCAATGTAGTGTCCTTCCCACTGTACTATCGATCTAGACCTCAAAATACTTTTTAAAGGTTTAGAACTTATAACTAAATGTTAATTGCACATTTTGAAAAATTTTTTAAAGATTTTTTTTTGTCTTTTTGAAGAATGTTTGATGTGGGAGGACAGAGATCAGAGAGAAAGAAATGGATTCACTGCTTTGAAGGAGTTACATGCATTATATTTTGTGCTGCCCTAAGTGCCTATGACATGGTCCTAGTGGAAGATGAAGAAGTGGTAAGTCTGTGAACAGAACAACCATAGTAAATAAACATTTGCGTTTGTCAGTATTACTACCACAATTCCCAACTCACTAAGAGCCTTCCAAAGACAAATACTAATTCTAGAAACTGGTTAACAGTGGTCAATGCTAACATGCAATATTAATCCAATCTATTCTAATCTTTATCCCTGACAGAACAGAATGCATGAAAGTCTTCACTTGTTCAATAGTATCTGTAATCACAAATACTTTGCAACTACCTCCATTGTCCTGTTTCTCAATAAAAAGGATCTCTTTCAAGAAAAAGTAACCAAAGTGCACCTTAGTGTTTGCTTTCCAGAGTATACTGGTAAGATTCTTTTTCTTTAGTTCCATATTAATTTTTATATATAGAAATATTTTTCTACTTATATCTCTAGAGAGAAGCTAATAATTTTTTTTATTTTATGTACAAAGAACATGACACTTCTATCAAAATATTTATATATAATATATATAATATTTATTACATATTTGCAATACGTGCTTATTCTTACTTTGATATTTATATATTCATTAATTATATGCTTACAAATTTATCATGCGATTACTATAATAATCTTTCTGGAGTGATAGCACAGTGGGTAGGGTATCCCTCTCAGAGAGCCTGGCAAGCTACCGAGAGAATCCTTCCTTCACGGCAGAGCCTGGCAAACTCATGGCATATTCGATATGCCAAATACAGTAAGAACAAGTCTCACAATGGAGATGTTACTGGTGCCCGCTCGAGCAAATCGATGGACAATGGGAGGACAATGCTACGGTGCTCCTAATAGACTCAACGGATATATTTTAAAGAACCTATTTCTTTGTCCAGTTTTAGTTTACATAAAAAATTATCAGAAATACAGAGTTTCTACATATTTATTACCTTCTACACACTGATCTTTCAGTTTTTCCTATTATTCAGTTTCTGCATTGATGTGGTATATATATTTTGATTGATGAACAACAACTAAAATAAGTAATTGCATGATGGTTTCTTCTTGTGGCTGCATAATGATATTATAGAACTATTAGGTCTATTTAGTGTTTCTAGGGTTTTGCCCTTCTCAGAATGACATATGCCTAGAATCATAAAATATATGGCTTTTGCTGACTAGCTTCTTTCAGTTAACAATAAACATTCTAAGTTTTTACATATTTTTTAATAAGTTGATAGTTCATTTCTCTTATATAAACAACACATCAGATTGTTTAGATTCCCTATTTGTATTCCTTCTTCTCTTCCATCTTATTTTTTTTTTAAGTGCCACACTTGAGAGTGCTCAGGAGATTATTCCTGGCTGTGCTCGGAAAGCATGTAGTGCTGGGAATCAAAACTGGGGTTCCCACCATGCAAAGCATGTGCTCTAGTTCTTTGAGCCATTTCCTGAGCTCTTATTTATTTCTTTCTTCTCCAGTGGTCCCTTTGTATATCTGGCAGCTAGGCAAGACTTTTGTAAGTGTAACCTTCTTCAGTTAGCTCTGATAAAATGTGAAGAATAACTCTTCTGGGACTGGAGAGATAGTATAGCAGGTAGGGTGTTTACTTTGCTTGTGGCAGACTTGGGTTTGATCCCTGGCATCTCTTATGGTCCCGAAGCAACACCAGGAGTAATTCCTGAGTATAGAGCCAGGAGTAATCCCTATGCATCGCCTTGTGTGACTAACAAGCCAATAAGTAAATAAATAATTTTTTTAAAAAAAGAAAGAGTAACTCTTAGTAGTTGCATAAATCTAGTAGTTAAAGCCATTTTCAAAATTTTAGTTTATTTTTTAACTTTCACCAAAATTATTGTCTTCTTCTGTTTATCCTACAAGGGCCAACTCAAATACCACCTCATTTTATACTAATTCATCTAAAATTTATTTCATCCTTTGAGTTTTTATTGAAACATGTATATATGCACAATCTATATATATATATACATATCTATGTATACACACACACTTCTTTGGTACAGATAAATTTCATTGCTCATTCAATTCATTGTATAAATGTGTTACTATTTCTACTGTGCTGGAGTTTTTGAATACAGTAATTATATCTCAGACACCTTAAACAACAAAGTGAAATAAGTATAATTCACATCACAAAGATTATATAGCATAAATCTCTGATAACTGATGATAGATACTTTGATTTTATAATACAGAGTACATAAATTATTGGAAAAGCAAAATCCTAAATGTGATTTTATTATTGAAATTTTTATGTTTTCAAGTGAAATTAATATTTACTTCCTTAATTTTTATAAGGGCCCAATACATTTGAAGATGCAGGAAATTATATCAAGAACCAGTTCTTAGACCTGAATTTAAAAAAAGAAGACAAGGAAATTTACTCCCACATGACCTGTGCTACAGATACACAAAATGTCAAGTTTGTGTTTGATGCAGTTACAGACATAATAATCAAAGAGAATCTAAAAGACTGTGGGCTTTTTTAGTCAATTCTTTTCAGTCCTTGCGCATATACATTTTTCAAAATATTCAATAAAAGGTGATGTGTCTATTTTAAATGTGTAGTAACTTTCTAGAGCAATATTAATATAATAAAGAATTTTTCCAAAATTGTAATGTATTATCACATGTATCTTGATAGATTTTGACAACAAATATGGGGAATGTCTTCAATAGTCTTAATTCAGAAAACTAAGAAATTTTAGCAATAAATACATGTCAGTGACATTGAATTTGTTTTCAGTAAACTTCTGCATTGTGCTCAATTTAAAAATATGAAATTAAATTTTGAATGTATTTCATATAATTTCAGTTAGCCAGATTTTAGATTATTTTTCTGGTAATGTAATTGTGTTTGTACTGTAAAAACTGCTTAGAGATGTAAATATTGGATTTTATGGTTAATTACTCCTATTTAGTCACTACAAATAAAGTCTTTACCATAAATGTCCTTGTTAAAGGAAAATCAGTATACAAAAACAAATGAATATCCACTACATTTTTTTCTTAGAGAAAACATGCCTTTTTAGTGGAATATTTAAAAATATATCTTTTGCTACCAATCTGCTAAAAATCAAGATCATACATGACCAAGTATTCAGTTTAAGGCTATTCCAACTGAATGATAGCCATAGCGGAATATTCATTCCCCAAACTTTCATCCATAGAGATATTGGGCACATAGTATTGCAATAAATGACTTGGGCAGAACAATTAAATATGACAGGGAAAAATAATTTAATATTTTAACATTAGTATGCTCTGGTATAATAAAATTAGGTGAGAGATTAGGAGATTTTTTTGAAGTTAAATATGGCGTTTTTGGTTGATACATTTTAAAATTATATTGATGATGAAATACTGTTAGAGCACCCTAAGCCTATAAAGTTTCACTCATCCTGTATTTCTCACCTTGTTGATTATGCTTAGATAAACATAATTATCAAGATGCATGTTTTCCCATAGAAAGCTGCATCCTAACCCTGTACAAGTAGAAACCAAATATAATCCAAAGTGAGATTGTTTTCTCCCCTTCTGAGGAAATAAGTGTGGTGACTGTGGTCATTGAGTCATGGAACTGGAAAATAGTAGAATGTGATCAACAACTTTCAAAACTCCACAAAAAACTAATGAAACTAAATCTTGTAACCATGATTTATGATCCTTATGTCCCCCACCTGTCCATGAGTCAATCAATAATATATCTGAATTCCATGTGTTTAGCTTAAAAGATCCTGTTTGGGATTGGAGGGCAGGTTTCATCTCATATCTTTTATCTCTCCTGCATGTATTTCCTGTAACAAATAAACCTTTTCCTTTTTTTAACCAAAACATGTGGTTTGTGATTGACTCTGGGAAAGGAGGTAACATGGGTCCAGTATCAAGATTATCTCTGATTTTTAAAAACGTATACCATTTATAACACGTGTGTTAATGTTATTTATATTTCTTACTTCAATGCATAAAGTTTATAATGATCTGAAAGGAGAGTTAATTACATTTTTCAAAAGCTATAAGATATAAAGAAAACATAAATTAAAGACTTTGACATTATATAACTCAGATGGCAAATTTTAGGAGCTTATCAACCTAGATAGTTTTGGACACATTTACATTCTAGATATCCAAGAATAATCACTATTCAGAAGTAACCTTGGCTAGATTTTATCTGTTTTTTAGAAAATAGTATCAATAAACATTGCTAGTTAAAAATTCTAAGAAAAAATAAGTTAAAATTACCTTGCAGGGGATGGAGAACATTACAGTAGGTAAGGTGCTTTCCTTGCATGAGGCCTTCACCTTTTGGCATGGACTTCCGAACACCATAGTGACCTCTAAGAATAAAACAAGGAATGAACCTTGAGTGCAGCAGTGTCTGACATCCCCAAAAAACAAATAAAAAATCACCTTGCAGAATATAAATTATTAAAATGCTTAATATGTAGGACATAAAAGCATGAAAATCAGTTAGTTCAAGAATCTCCGAAATACTTTAACTGAGAATAGCTATGTGATAACAGATCAATATTTTGCTAAGAAACTATTGTTACATGAGATTTTAAATTAAAATTACAAATACTAGGCCAGAAAGATAGTATAGGGGTTAAGGATTACTTGCTTTGCCTGTGATCCCTGGCACCAGATAGTGCTCTCTGAGCACCTTCTGAAAACCAGGAGTATATCTGAAGGGTGCTGCCTGTGACTCAAACCACCTACCACCTCCACCACTAGTTACAAGTGATACAACTGTATTCACTGATTTGTCTTTTCCCACTCTTCCTCTATTCTACTTCAAGATGTTTTCTCCATCAGTATGAAGAGTCTCTAGAAAAGGAAAAAATGATATATTTTTTTAAAAAATAGCTTACTTCTGTTTATGTTCTTTTATATTTTGATTTATTTTTAGAGTTTCTCTCATAGATAATATGGGTAAAAAGAAGAGGGTAAATGTAGTTTGATTTGTTATTTAGATTTCTAGTTGTCTTTAAATACATATGATTAATTTCAATTTATGAACTAAATCAAAATTATGAACTAAATCAAAATATGTATTTAAAGATAAAAAATGACATTCATCAGTATTTATTCTATGAACCTTAGTACTTGAAGTTTTAAAAATGTTAAATGACAAAATTTAGAATTAGTGATAGTTCTATATTAAAGGTAAAGGTAAAGGCCCTCCCATTGATCATCGATTTGCTCGAGCGGGCCCAGTAACGTCTCCATTGGAGACTTTGTTGTTACTGTGTCTGGCATATCGAATACCTCACGGGGAGCTTGCCAGGCTCTGCCGTGCGGGCGAGATACTCTCGGTAGCTTGCCGGGCTCTCCAAGAGGGGCGGAGGAATCGAACTCGGGTCGGCCACGTTGGCCGTTTGTAAGGCGAACGCCCTACCCGCTGTGCTATCGCTCCAGCCCTATATTACTAAATATATATTTATATGCACATATATATGTATATTTTTGCTGGTTACTCCAGTTCTATGATAAAAAGCTTTTGTTTTTATTTATTTACTTATTTATTTATTTTGATTTGTGCCCCACTACAGTACTGCTGAGGGCTTACTCATGGCTCAGGATACAGATATTACTCCTAGAGGGGCTAGGGAATCATATGGGATTTGAGGATTAAACTCTGGTCAGCCACATGCAAGACAAGTGCCTTACCCACTGTACTATCTTGCCAGAACTTCATTCTAATTTTTTAATATTTACCAACAACAACTTACCCCCCTTAAAAAATAAACCAACATAGTAGCATTTTGTTTATACTAACTACTGGTTGTTTTGCTTTAAAGAAATTTCCCCTGAGACCAGCTCTGTTGAAACTGGCTAAAATTAAGACTTGTTTCAATGGAAAGTTTATTCTTTCACTTGGGTAGTTAGTTGGTTCCTCTTGCTTTTACAGCTTCTCCAGAAGCAGTCATTGTCATTGAATGTTCCACTGTGATTAATTAAACTTATAATCTCCATTTCTTATCATCAAATAAGTTTCAATGTAGTTGAGTATTAAATAGTTCCAATTTTTCTGGCATTATATTTTTTACATTCCCAGTTAGCTCCTTTGTAAAATTATTTTGATTATTGGCATACTGCCCTTGAGTACGCTAAGAGATTGGTATAGGTCTATGTATAGTGAGGTCACTGTATTTCCAGAAGTACAAACTAGTCAACAGATAAATATTTGCAGCCTGGTCTAGTTAAACATAGAAGAACATTAGCTGAGGAATATGTTTTTGTCAAAATATAAATTTCAGTTCTACAAAGTGCTCTATTAAAGAGGATATATCTCCAATATCTCTTGATAACAGAATCACAAAAAGGTTTTAAAACTAAATAACAGTTTATGGCTATCATTGCAATCAACCACCTTTACAAGCCATGGGCGTGTCCTAAAACAAGTTTCTTACCTGATCCATCTGTTGCAGGTGGCATGATAAAGTGGAGAGCAAGGGAAGAAGAGTGGTTCCACCTCTCTGCTTGGCTCACCTTGTACACCTGGGTAAATGCTTGGCGTGGGTCAGGACTGATAAAGTCGACTAGGAGGACTATACACCATGGACACTCTCATTCCATGGACAGCCCCACAAGACAGCTATCAAGCTGCCTGAAGTCCATTTGTTCTTCATGGAGTCATGGACTCTGGCTGGAATAAGGAATTATTTTTTGCAGAAAAGGAAAGAGTCCCAAACTCAGTACAGATGTTCCAGGTCCATCACTTTGCCTCGAAGAAACGAGTTTCAGGGGGAGGCAAAATATGTAAAGAAAATGCTTTTTGTTGAAAGAAATTTACTTCAAGAAGTGTAAGAAGAGAAAAGGAGGATTAAGTGCTCGAGAGAGAACATAGGCTTTGGGGGGTGGGGGGGTGGGAGGCAGGAATCAGAGCAGAGAGACAAATAACCTGTTCAAAAGAGAGTGCAGGGTTGAAAAGTCTTACATGGCTTTTGGGAGATTATATGATTCCTGAAATTTTCTTGACCTGGACATCTTTAACATAAAAGTTAGCCTGGGCATTATCATGGATAAGCCTTGCCCTGTTGATGGTCCTTTCATATTCTTTTCATGACCTATACATTTCCAGAAGTTTCTCCTTTTTTGAAGTGGTTCACCCAGCTCTGCATGGTGCCTTGGGTTTTGCACTTCCAAAGAACTCAGGATTCACATCTCAATGGGACTTGGTCTTCATGCCTTTGGGCTGCTTCAGGGTGGACCAATTTTTCATGAGTGTTATTATTTCCCAAAATTCAGTTTCAGGGCTCCCTATCCATCTACCTACTACAGAATTATAAAGTCTTCGAATTCCTCATCCTTGTTTTCAGTCCTGAGTGCAATGTGCTTGTCTTAGCTCTGAAACCTTCTGCAACATTTCTTTCCCATGCAGGCAGAGAATATTCTCTGCTTTTAAGGGATTGTGTAATTAACTGTGCTATCTGACTAAACCAAGGGGGATCTCCTTCCTTCAAAGTCGGTAACCTTAGCTAACTCTGCCAAGATCTTTTGCTTAAGTCAACAAACTGCTTCACAAGCTCTAGTATTGAGGGTTAATTCACTTCCTATAAATATCAAATTTTTAAGGTCTTTCCTGATTATAAAATATAAGGGGTTGATCAACCATTTTATCATATTAGCATAATGTATCTCATTTGTTTGGGAGTGTGGGATAATCAGCTGTGCTCAGGACTTAGTCCTGGCTGTGTGTTCAGGTACCACTTTTGGCAGTGCTTGGGCTACCATACATGGTGTTGGTTATTGAGTAGGGTCAGCTGTATGAAAGGTATTACCTTAAACCCTGTACTGTCTCTTCATTCCCTAATGTAGTTAGTGAAGGTGATGTGCTTGCAACGTGTTGACATTTATATTCTGGATATACACAATTACATCACCTCACCACAAGAGTGTTCATAACACCCCACTCACGTCTCTTTGCTACATTAAGACTACCTATTCCCTCTTTAGCCTGTAGTTGTAAATCTGTATTTCAGTATATATATATATATATATATATATATATATATATATATATATATATATAAACCAACTGATATTATTTGAGCTGGAGTGATAGCACAGCGGTAAGGCATTTGCCTTGCAGGTGGCCAGTCTGGCTGAACCGAGTTCAATTCCTCCGCCCCTCTCGGAGAGCCAGGCAAGCTACCAAGAGTATCTCGCCCACACAGCAAAGCCTGGCAAGCTACCCATGACGTATTCAATATGCTAAGCACAGTAACAACAACTCTGAAAATGGAGACGTTACTGGGCCTGCTCGAGCAAATAGATGAACAGTGGAATAACAGTGACAGTGATATTATTTATTTCCTTATTTTGTTTCCATTTACATCAAATTGAATGAGATCATCCTATACTTGTCCATTTCGCTCTGGCTAATTTTATTCAACATAACTTTCTCCATGTTGAATAAATGTATTCAAGTTTTAACAAATACAGTGATTTAAGTTTTCTTACTATTGCATAATATTCATTATTAAAAACACAACTTTTTTACCCATTCATCTATCCTGACGTTTTGTTTTTTTCCATATCCTGGTTATTGTACAAGCTCCAGTGAACATAAGTGTGTATAAATCCTTGGGATTAGTATCTTTGCAGTTTGGGGATAGATGCCAAGAAATGAAATTGATGGGTCAGATAGAAGCTCTATTCTTAGTTTTCTAAGACAGTTTAAAATCGTGACTCATACAACATTCCCACCAGCAGTGAATGAGTTTTCCTTTTTTAAACACATCTTTTCCTATACAGGTTGTGTCCAGTATTTTTTGTTTTGCCATTGTTGCTTATGGAAAAAGAACTTGATTTGATTTATATTTTCCTGATAATAAGCGATTATGAACACTCTTTCATAAGTTTATTAGCTATCTAATATGTTCTCTTCATGGAAATGCTGTTCATTTCCATTCCCTGTTTTTTGATGGGATCATTAGTTTCTTTGTTACTGAGATATACGGTGCTTTATTTACTTTAAATATTAATATTTTATGAGAATATCTTCTTTTGCCATGCAGAAACTTTGAAAATTGATAATGTCCCATTTACTTTTGGGATATCTTAGTTTTCACTATTTTTTTTTGTGAGGGAGATAAAATTATTGAAGACACTTTTGAGATCCTAAAGAGTTACATATATATTTTCCTCAATATATTTTATGGATTAATCTCTAATCTCAAGGTCTTTTAATGATATTTGAATTATTTTTATGTATAGCGTGAGATAAAATTCCATTTCCATTTTTGCATGCCATCATCCAGTTTTCCTACCACTATTTGTTGACTTTTCTTGTTCAACTTAATATATCCAACTCCTTTGTTAAAGGTTAGCTGTTCATTTAGAATTATTTTTCACTTTTGGTACCCAGGGATTTCACCCAGGGCCTCAGATATACAAGGCACTCTACCACTGAGTTACATTCCCAACCTGGCCTAATTGAAATTGTCAATATTCTAGATGTTTCATGGGGAAAAAAGACAAAAAAAAATTATTCAAGACCTAAGAAATAGCACAGGGGTTTAAGTGCTTTTCTTGATATAGTCAAACAGCACTTTGATCCCAGCCACCACATAAGGTTTCCAGAGCCCCAACAAGAGTGAGCCCTGAGGACATAAGCAGAAGTATGCCCTGTACACCTGCTGGGAGCAGACTGGAATTAAAAAACAAGCAAAAATTAAAAAGCAACACAAAACAAAACCCCACTGAATTAAAGAAATAATTGTTACTGGGATATATAACATGCTAATATATCTGTCAGTTCTTTAGTTTTCATTAATTTAAGTATTTCATCAGAGTCTCATTGTTTTCATATAGTACCCATTATTCAGGGCTGGAGCGATAGCACAGCGGGTATGGTGTTTGCCATGTACGCGGCCCAGGAGGCCAACCCGAGTTTGGTTCCTCTGCCCCTCTCGGAGAGCCCTACAAGCTACCGAGAGTATCTTGCCTGCACGGCAAAGCCTGGCAAGCTACCCATGATGTATTTGATTTGCCAAACACCATAACAATAAAACTCGAGATGGAGACATTACTGGGCCCGCTCGAACAAATCGATGAGCAATGGGAGGACAGTGCTACCCATTATTCAATATGATCATTTGATTTGCAAGAGACACTTCTAGGCTCTCTTACTTCTTAAAGATAAGTACTTGTAAGGTTACTAACATTTATTAACGGGTTGTATATAGACAATTGATGAATGAAACACATCTTAAAATTTTCCAGCTTTGGGGGGTCTTTTAATATTACAAATTGAATTCATTTTTATCTTAGTGTAACTATTTCTCCACAGTATAGTTTAACAACTTATTTCTTTCTCATGCATGGGACTCAGACTTATGAGTTAGGTGCTATGCTCCACAAAGTCACCCAGGAGCCAAGCTAAGAAGTACCTACTTCAATTGCAATGTCAGGTATAAGGACAGGAGACAGGAGCTGAAAGCTCTTTGATGCTTTTATGGAAATGCTGTTTCATGACCATCCTAAGTTTATAGATTCTGAAAAATGCAGACAACTGGATTTGTCAATAATTATGTATGGCTACCACTGTCTCTGCTACAGCTAAAATATTCCTTTATTTTCCCTCCTGAGTAGTATTTCCATACCAAAAACAGATGGATGTCTCTTAATGGCATTGTAGAGTAAGATTAATATTAAAAGATGCTAGAGAATTTATTATAGAATGAGGAAGTTGCAAATATAATGGAGTATTGAATCATTAATCAGCCATCTCATACACATGAACTAGAGAAAACATTTCAGCAATTTATAGCAAGGTTCTAAAGGAACAGTTGACTTTAACTTAAAAAATGGTATCTATGTAGTCCAGGAATGTACCTTATGGTACAAATGTTAAACAGTACAGTCATATCAATTATCAGATGATTAAGGTGAACATGTCAGCAAAGGTTACAGAATGGAGTAAACCATTTTTCAAACACTCAAAACCTTTATCTATAGCTCTTTCAGTCCAAAGTACTTTATACTCATGCACAGATTAAAAGTGCTGCGATCCTCCAATAGTATTTTAAGGATACCAAGATATAAATTGTGACAACCAAGCAAAATAGTAACATCCAAGTATTTTTTTAAATATGTTTTGCATTAATATGTAATTATTCTTCAATAAAAGAAATTAATGGTCATAAAACATTTTTATATTGAAAAACTATTTTTCTCTGGAAAACTGGTAACACAATAAAACTCTCTGAAATCTTCCAAAAAGTCAGTTTACTGACTTGGTTTACAAAGATCTTTGCCACAAAGTTAACAAAAGGAAAAAAAATAACCTATCACAAACTATACAGACTGGGCTGCTTAAAGAGACAGTAATCTTTGGGTTTCTTGCTTTCAGATGCAAGTACCTTATGCCAAGAAAGTAAGGATTAAATTGCTCTTTACCTGGATCTTTTCCTAGGTATATGTTTGCAGTGATCAACAAGGAAGGATGAAGTAAATTTCTTACTCCTGTCCTCACACAAGAAATTTTGCAGCATTTTGCTTATTTTCCAAGTGGTAGAATGCTGAAAGTCAGCCTTTCTCAGTTATAACACAAGTCTACTATGCACACAGCAACCAACAAAGCTTCACTGGTATCACCCCAGGGAAACTTGGGATTAATTGACAAAAATATGCTGATATTTATACTTTGACTTCTGTGAATAAAAGAAAATATTTTGACTATTGATGGATATCATGTGTCCTCTTTCAACACCCATGAAT